GACCTGCACCTGGCTGTCAGGGACACAGTGCTGAGCGCTGGTTGAAAGGAGTCCTTTGAAAGGCTCTTTGATACGATCCCTCTCTGGGTGTATCCCCTCATCCTTAAACCCCCTCAACAAAGTGGCTCTTGGACCAAAGCTCCTGGTTCACGTTCCTCCCCCCGCACCCACATTGTCCTCTTGATCTCCCAGAGGTATCTGCCAGTCGGAGCAGGTGCAGGGCCGGGGTGGCGGTGAAGGGAGCCTTGTACTATTTCACCCCTTACACCTTTCATGGACTGCCCAAGAGGACAGCAAAGGAGGGGGGCTGGACCCCAAACTGATCCTTCACCAGCCCAGCCTAGAGAGGAGTAGGGCACACACTTGAGAGATCTTAAGAGTGTACCGCCACTTCCCACCTGTTGCAGGAGTAATCGTACACGATGCCTGAGCTGTAGGGGACCCTACAGAGTAGTTGTTAAGAGCCCTGCCTCTGGGTTCAGGCAGATCTGGGTTCACATCCTGGCTCTGCTGTCCTACTACCCGTGTAACCTCAAGCAGGTTACTTAAGCTCTCTGTGCTTTGGTTTCCCTTCTGTGAAATGGGGGATTAGTGCTTAGAAATGGGTTTGTAGTGAGGATTAAATGAAGTAATGATGTCAAGTGTCTTGACACAGGCCTGGCCCATCACTGGTGCTCAGTAAACATGATCAAGGCCCAGAAAGACCGAGTGGCTTGCCTCAGGTGCCCAGCTCGTCATAGCCCACTTCCCTGTCCTCGTAAGGGAGGGAGTCTTTCTGTTTCTAACTCTTCTGGGCGGTTGCAGACCAGCGAAGGCTTCCACAGGTCCTGGCTCTGTAGAAGCAACAAAGGCCCTAGAGGCCCCAGAGTTATTCACTCAGCCAGAGTCACGAGCACCTGCTGCTCAGAAGCCAGAGGCCAGTGAATGTACCCAGCTGAGGCCACTGCAGGCCCCGTCAGGAGGCAGCCATGTTAGGGGGAGGCTGAAGAGGCCCTGATGGCCACTGATTGTCAGTGGCAGTGTTTGTAAAGGTGAGGAGGACACACAGCCTGGAGAAGGACTGAGGGAAGTGGGGCCCCAGTGGGGGAGGGGGTAGTGAGGAACACCTGGGGTGCTGACCTTGCTGTTGTGGGTCTGGGGTCCCTTCCCCAGGCGCCACAGCTCTTTGCTCTGCTCTGAGCGCCTGCCCCCGGGGTCAAGGCATCTGTGGTCTCTGAGGCCCAGGGGCTGCCTGGCCGCATTGTGTTTTAAGAAGACCTCATCCCCTGCAGAGTCCGAACCAGCTGAGGAGCGCCCCTGCCCCCTCCCAAGCTCCCTGTCTGAGGCTGGAGCGCTCCTGCCTGTTGGGCCTCCCGCAGGGGGCACCGGCGAGGCCTCTCCACGGCCCCAGCCAGCTGCCCCTTTCAACCCCTGCCTCTCAGGATTACTCAGCCTTCACAGCGTCTGTCACTAAGATGCTGAGTGCGTTCTTGATGGCCTCTCTTCAGGAAAGGCTTGGGCTGTGTGGCCTTTTAAGAAAGGCTCAGTGCCCGGGTTAAGCCTCTGATTGTGGTTCTGCGTGAAGAAACCGTAAACCAAAGGAAAAGGGATGGTTCAGCTTTGGTCTTAGAGCTTTGTGTCAGCGTCTGCTTGCGTCCCTGGGCTCGGAATTGAAGGTGGGCCGGAATTGAAGGTGGGCCGTACAGGCAGGTGGAGAAGCTGTCCTTTCCTTCCGATTTCTGGATAGATTATTCAGAGTAGGAGAGGGTCCGAGGAACCTCTCATCTTGCTGTCTTTAAGTACTGGGCTCTGCTCTCAAGTTTGTCTCCTGGACTCAGGGGCCTTGGGCGAGGCCTCCAACGCAACTTTTTCCTTCAGGGCAAAATCCCCAGTCCCTGGAAATCTTGACTCTTCCAGCAGGGCCAGGAGCTTGAGAGTGATATCCAGGTTTTTAGGCTAATTGCTGGGGAAGCCTGAACATTTTCTAAAAGGTTTCTAATGGTCATACCAGTGTCAAGGGATCTGTCTGACCCAGGGAGGGAAAGGAGAGAGCACTGGACCAGACGGACTGGGGTGCCCAGCCTGCACCTGCAGGAAGCCCTCAGCCTTCCTGTTGAGCCACAGCTGAGTCGGTTGTCCTGGGGCAGTGCTGGCTGCCCTTTGACTGAGGGTCAGCGGCCTCACCTTTGGTCCAGGGAACAGTTTGGTTTTCTCTCCTCCCCAGGGGCTCAGGCAGCCCAGTAACTGGGTGTTTAATGGCTCTCCCATCACCTCTTCTGCCAGAGCCGCCTCCGTGCAGGTACAGCATGTACTCTGAGGACTGAGCCAGGGAGCTTGGCCTTGCTGGGGTGGGGGGCTCACCACATTGCCCCCCCTTTCCCTTCTTAAACCCAACAGCACGGGGAAGGTTATCCTCAGTGCCACGTTCTGTCCCCCCCCCCCCCCCCCCCCGCCTACATAAAGGCAGAGACATTTCTGGCACTTACTTCCCTGCACAGGAGTTTGCCCTGTGCTTTAAAGCCGAGTGGGGTGGATTTCATCCCAAGGCCTGGCCCCCGCCCTGGCCCCCGGAGAGGAGACCTGTGGCTGAGGACCATTCTGGCAGCGGTTGTGCAGCGCCACCTCCTGGCCACAGTACCCATCCTGGCTCCCTGCTCATCCTCAACAGTTGCCGGCACAGTTCCTGTAAAATAAAAGGACCTTGGTGGGGGGAGGGGAGGAAGGCGGTCCAAGAGGGAGGTGTATATACACATATAGCTGATTCACTTCACTGTACAGCAGAAACTAACACAACATTGTAAAGCAGTTATACTCCAATTAAAAAATAATAATAATAAAAGGAACCTGAAAAAGACTTTCCGAAGTCCATTTCTGGTTGATCCTGTAAATGCCTGTAGCTTTTTCTATCAGCTTGGGTTGGCCTTTCTGGGGCTGCCTTGCCAAGCCTTCTATTAAAATGGCTTTGTATTTCCAAAGCCCAAACTGTCAAGGCAGGACTTAGCAGCTGTAGCCGAGAAGCAGGGACATCAACGCAGAACCCAGCGCTGGATGTATGTGTCCCAAGAGAGTGATATGCCTGTGGTCTTTGAGGGGAGGGAGTGTTAAGGAAAGTGACTGGAGTGTGGGATGGACGCAAGGGTGTGAATGAAACTTGTAGTTTCTTGGGGCTGAAGCTGTTCTATTTTCTAGTCTGTTGTTCTAGCCTGGGCTCAGTGCTGCCAACTAACTGATTGAAGGAAGCTGACCTAGAACAGGGCTGTAGCTGCACCGACTTGAAGCGGTCTAGCTCACTCCCTTCTCTAGAATGGGTAGTATTCTGGGAACCGGTGTTGGGGAGGATTTTTGTGAATTACCTTGGAGTGTTCCCTCAGTGTGCTGCTCCCGAAGTAGATTCCATAGCTGGCCCCGCCTCTCAGCGCCCCTTCCCCCCCACGGGACGAAGAGCAAGTTTTCTGCAGTTCACTTCCCAAACCAGGGACTGGGCATTCCTGCTGTTTCTAGTTTACAGAGAAGAGGTTGGAATAAACATGTACATTTCACCATTGACTGTATTTGGTTGTTCGCCAAGCACGTGCCTTGTGCCCCAGTGGAGCTTATAAACTAGAGGGGATACAGCATGGGGGTGGGTATTTGTGGACAGACGCCCTGTAGCTAACGCCTCTGTCGTTCCCTCCACTCTAGGCCTGGTCTCCAAGTCCTCTCCTAAGAAGCCTCGTGGACGTAACATCTTCAAGGCCCTTTTCTGCTGTTTTCGCGCCCAGCATGTTGGCCAGTCAAGCTCCTCCACTGAGCTCTCCGCATACAAGGAGGAAGCCAACACCATTGCTAAGGTAGCTGGATGCAGGGCGGTGTGATGCCAGCAAGGACGGGACTGCTGTGAGCGAGTGGGGGTCCCCGCAGCCACGGCAGGGAGACAGGGCAGCCTTGCCTGAGTTGGAAGATCTGTGGCCCGGAGGAGGCCCTTCCTCTGTCCTTCCCATAGTGGTCCATCTTCTTCCTGTTGATTCCCATTTGTGGTGTGGGCCATCTGGGTGTCCCTGTGGTTTCTGAGGGGCCCCGCGGTCCAGATCCTTCCAGGTTCCAGGAACCGTGCAGGGTGCTTTGCGTAGGTTGTCTCATGTGACCCACAGCAGCCCTGCGAGGAGAGCCACAGGATTCCCCTCACAGACGGAAACTGAGACTCAGAGGGTGTGTGTAGCCGCTGAGTAGTTAATGGTTAATAAGTGGTAGTATCAGGGTTTGAACTCAGATCTCTCTGGTTGTAAGTCCTGTGATTGTTGTTTTTTACTTTTAACTAAGCAAAAATACCTTCCAAGTTACTAGGCTTTCAGGGAACCAAGGAATTGAAATTCTATCACATTCTTGATAACCCCTTCCAGCACTATCACCTGTACCTGTGAGAGACATTTGGAAATGTGTGGGTGTCTTTGATTCTTATAATTACCAGAAGACATGTCTGGCATTTCAGAGGCGGGGGACAGAAATCCTCCTTTCTGCAGTGCCATTTGTACTTCTTTCTGAAACACCAAGGTTTAGCTGTCCTTCCTCTCTTTCAAAACCAGGCTAAAGATACGTACATCAGTGAAAAATCACGTCATTATCCAAAAGGGGACAATGGTTAAATGAAGTACAACATGACGGTATTAACCGAACTATTAATTTTTACTAAGAGTTCACAACAATGTGGAAGAGTATTGAGTTGCAACATTAAGTCAAAAAGCAGAATGCAGGGCTTCCCTGGTGGCGCAGTGGTTGGGAGTCTGCCTGCCAATGCAGGGGACACGGGTTCGTGCCCCGGTCCGGGAAGATCCCACATGCCGCGGAGCGGTCGGGCCCGTGAGCCGTGGCCACTGAGCCTGCGCGTCCGGAGCCTGCGCTCCACAACAGGAAAGGCCACAACAGTGAGAGGCCCGCGTACCCCCCCCCAAAAAAAAAAAAAGCAGAATGCAAAATTATATGTCATGAAGAAAAAAGACTGCTTGCCAAAGCAAGCTTGAAGGAAATGCACTGAAATGCCAACATTAAGTTTTTCTAAGTGCTAGGATTTTAATTTTTCTTCAGGGTTTCCATTAAGATCACTTACTTGTTACATTATAACATTTTACTTATTAGCCCAAGGCGGGAAGAGGCTTTCTGAGCTCTCTGCACTCTACCTCCCCTCACGTTTCAGGACTCACAGTGTGGGCTCACATTGGCTTACTTGTGCTTTGTAGGGGCTCAGTGCACCTCCCCCTAATCTAGGCCCCCAAGGAGGATGGAGAGAACACATGTTCTCAAAGAGCAGCCTGGGTTTCGGGACTAAGCAAGAGGCCAGACCTCCACAGCGAGGAGTTCCGATTTTGATTCTGCCTCTGACTCTGTGTCCCTGCATCAGCTGCTTGAGTCCCCTGTTCCTTGGAGAGGCAATGGCAGCTGAGAACAGGGACACATCCTTCTCCATCCTGCATCAGGCCGAGTGTGGAAAGAAGATTTTGGCCCCTTTCCTGCCCAGCTCTTAAGGAAAGTCACTTTTGTCGTGTCAGAGCTTTCCAGGGGGCTGGGGTCTTGGGGAGAAAATTCCCCTCCAGGCCTAAGTGGGCTTTAGACAACCAGGAAAGGCATTAGTGGGCTGGCACTGACCACCTTCTTTTCTCCCGTAGTCGGATCTGCTCCAGTGTCTCCAGTACCAGTTTTATCAGGTATGTGAATCTCACAGGGTATGGCCTCAGAAGCCCCGACACCCAGTGATACCTTCTAACCCCATGCCCCATGCAGTGAAGCCCTCATTCCTCTGTGTCTGGCTGGCTAACTCCCTGCCCTTGGAAGCTGTTTGTCCCAGATATTTGCTGAGGGCCCACCACGTGCAAGGCATTAGATTGTGCGGGGGACAGCCGGTATCCATCACCAGCTCTGGCCTCCAGCTCCAGTATCCGGATCACTTCACAGTCCCAGGCTGAAGGAAGGAGCTAGCTCAGTCTCTTCTTTCTCTACCTCTTGGCCTTTAAGTGTCCCCTCTCTTGGGTTGAAGTAGGGGGCTTCCATCTCCTCAGTGGGCCCAGCTCTTCCCAGAGTTCTATTGGGGAAAATTAGTCTTTCTTGGTGGCAGATTCAGTAGCCTGGCTCTGGTTTTAGATTCCAGGGACCTGTCTGCTCCCGGAGGTGACAGAGGAAGATCAAGGAAGAATCTGCGTGGTCATTGACTTGGATGAAACCCTTGTGCATAGCTCCTTTAAGGTAACTGGACATCTGGAGCTCTTCTTACACTCGTCCTGGGCTGTCTTGGAAGCCTGACTGCAGGTGCCAGTGAAGTGGCCTAAAGTTGATGATGGAAGAGTGATCAGAAGTAGGAGGGCCGGCCTCTGGCATTTGGCCACAGTCGCATCACATACCTGGAGGCCCCACCAGAGAATGATGTTGAGTGGGAGCCCCTGCTCTCCGCAGTTGCTGACAACAGGCTACAGCTGCCCCCCAGCCCCGTCGCAGCACAGCCACCAGGGCTCTGTACAGGGGTACAAAAGAGGGGTTAAGTCAGCCTTGGGCCATGCCCCTATCCATTTTGTCAGGATGTTTGTTAACTCAAGAAAGCCCAGAGACTGTCTGAGCTCAGGTAGAATTTGCAGGTGGTGGTAAGTAGGGAAAACCAGAAGGGGTGTCGCAGCCTGTACTTGGGTGAGAGCCACTTAGTTGGGACAGCAGGAGCTTCCTAGGGCCTCTGATATCTGTCCCTCCCCACCCCGCCCAGGGGGTGGAGCACTGGCTGTGGCAGGGACTGGGGTGTGGCTGGGCTCTTGTCCCTTCCCACTAGCTGACTCATTAACTCTTCTGCCTTCCAGCCAATCAACAACGCTGACTTCATAGTGCCTGTAGAGATCGAAGGGACCACTCACCAGGTGAGCTGCTGCCAGGCCACGCCCAGCGCAGGAACTCGGGGTCTTCTGCTCCTCGGGGCTTGTGTTCCATCAGTTGATCCTTTCCTGTAACTTCAGCCTCTCTGCTTTTATTGGTAACCTTTCACATTCGAGGCTTTCGCATCTTAAAAAATGCAGCCCCTCATCCCCCTCTAGCTGTCACTTTTTTTCTCTTTGCAGCCAAGCTGTTTAAAATTAAATTATTTAATAGTAGTAATAGCTATCATTTATTTATCTCCCCTGGTCCTACTGAATGTGACCAGCACTGTTATGTGACTTAATACATTTTCTCTAAAGCTGAAGAGTTAATGTATCTGCCTGTTACAGACAAGGAAGTCAGTACTAGCTGTTTTCTCTCCTCCCCTGCCCACCCATTCCATCTAGCCGGTGAATTTCTTTCTCCCCAGAAAAGGCATCTCCTCCTCTGTAAAGCTTTCTCCAATTCCCCTCCCCTTGAGGTCCCTACACTGGATTCTGCCACAATACATACTCAGTACACATCTATCAAACAGCGCTTGAATCTAAATAAGGTGAGGCTGTGGCCCTACACAACCTGCTCAGTAGAGGGTTAAGGATCCTGTGGTGTTGATAGTCAGATAGAAGAGTTACTTGTAGGGAGATGGGGTTTGAGGCTTCCATGGGTGGTCAGCACTATCCTGTGTCCATTAGAAGCTTTCTTCACCCCACCACCCTCCTCCCAGCTGAGGTGCTCTCCCAGTCCCAGTGCTGGACTCTGCACAGCAGCTCTTTACAGTCTAGTTGAGGGTATAGAGAAATATACAGAACCCACAGATTTTTTAAAAAGGCGTATCTTCAAACACTGTGAACTCCTGGCTAACAAGGAGAGGTGTGAATAATGGAAAAGGGATGACATTTACATGAGTGGGGGGTGGGGGTGAGGTGTCTACCTGCAGAAGGTGCGTTTTCAGCAAAGAGTGTTGAGACGATGCCAAGCTTGATGAATAGCCAGGAGGAGGGAGGGACTTGTTGAAGGTTAAAGAAATGGTAAATGAGGGCTTCCCTGGTGGCGCAGTGGTTGAGAGTCCGCCTGCCGATGCAGGGGACCCGGGTTCGTGCCCCTGTCCGGGAAGATCCCACATGCCGCGGAGCGGCTGGGCCCGTGAGCCATGGCCGCTGAGCCTGCGCATCCGGAGCCTGTGCTCCGCAACGGGAGAGGCCACAACAGTGAGAGGCCTGTGTACCGCCAAAAAAAAAGAAATGGTAAATGAAAGGAGGCCCGGTTGTGGCTACCTGGAGCAGAGGGTTCCTGCAGCAGAGCTGGGAGGGGTCTGGTGAGTCGATGGCCAGTCCAGGCCGTCTCCAGGAGGGAGAGTCATGGCAGGCACATACACTTGAGCAGGGAGTGAGCTGGATGAAAAGAACTTTGAAGGAGTGGTTCCAGTAGCCCCTGTGTAGGCTGGCTGAGAGGAGAACACCTGGATGGAGACAGGGAAGCAACAGACAGCAGGCCCATGAGGGACATGCGGCCAGTGAAGCTTTTAGGCCATAATGTGCAAGGTTATGAAAGGTGGACACCAGGGTTAGGGGTGGCTGTCAGGGGCAAGCACAAAATGGGGGCGTCACTAGAGCGAGATGCTGCAGGGTGTCAGATCTGTGGTCACTGAGGGGAAAAAGTCACTTTCCCCTGGTGCATTTCAGAGAAGCTCTGCGAGGGCATGAGGTTTCAGGAAGTATCTGCGACCCTGCCTGATGGGGTCCTGGACTAACTGTCCTGTCAGAGCCAAGGACAGGAAACTCCCACAGAGGCTGTGGCTGGATTCAAGTAATCCAGGATAGGCTATTTCCATCTGTGAGGCCTATTCTTGATTACTTGTTTCTGGAGGCAGCTGATGGTTCGCCGCCGGAAACAGATGGCTCCTGGGACATTAGGTGTTTTTGTTTCTTCCTGAGCTGGGTCAAGGTTGGGACCACTGAGCCGGCAGAAGCCTGGTGAGGAGGTGACGCTCGTGCCCTGGTCTGCGGGGCAGAAGGCTTCCAGCCAGGTGGTCCCAGAGGCTGGGGTGTGGGAGTCCAGACAGAGTAAGGTCTGAACCGACTTACTGCTCTTTGTGTAGGTGGTGATGGTGACCGATGCCGTGAGGCTTCACCCTCGTAGGGATGCCTCCAACAAGCCTTTCTGCTTTTCCTCAGGTGTACGTGCTCAAGAGGCCTTACGTGGATGAGTTCCTGAGACGAATGGGGGAACTCTTTGAATGTGTTCTCTTCACTGCCAGCCTAGCCAAGGTACCTGGGGGCAGGAGGGGAGTAAAGAACTGGGAGCAGGTGTGGCAGCTCCTTGCAGGTCACAGGATGCCACGGGGAAACCAGGACTGCATCCAAACAAAAAGCTTCTGCTCTCTTCTCAGTATGCTGACCCTGTGACGGATCTGCTGGACAGGTGTGGGGTGTTCCGGGCCCGCCTGTTCCGTGAGTCCTGTGTGTTTCACCAGGGCTGCTATGTCAAGGACCTCAGCCGCCTGGGAAGGGACCTGAGGAAAACCCTCATTCTGGACAACTCGCCTGCTTCTTACATCTTCCACCCAGAGAATGCAGTGAGTGGTCCAGATACACCCATATTGCAGGGATTGGGAGAGTCCCTGCCCTGGAAGGAGGAGGGAGAAGGGGATGGTGGTGGAACCATGGGCTTTACCAGAGGAGAGCACCACCCCAGGTGGACCAGCCAGCCTCCGGGGGTCTGGGGCAAGGGAGGGAAGCAGTGGCGGTCGGGAGACTTAACGCTGCCTTTTCCCTCTCCAGGTGCCTGTGCAGTCTTGGTTTGATGACATGGCAGACACTGAGTTGCTGAACCTGATCCCAATCTTTGAGGAGCTGAGCGCAGCAGAGGATGTCTACACCAGCCTTGGGCAGCTGCGGGCCCCTTAGCCTTCCCTGCTGCCAAGCAATGGCCATCCCAGTAGGGGACTTTCCTACACTGTGCCTTTATGATCAGCCTGACAGAGCGGAATCTGGAGCATCTCACCAAATGAGACCTGGAAATAGAAGTGATTGCAAAGAGCTTTAGGACAGGTTAGATGCTGAGTGGGCAGATATCAGACCAGCGATACCAGAGCTGCCTGCTCCCTGAGTTGGGTTCCCGAGATGTGAGTAAGTGTATTTGTGTGTGTGTGTGTGTGTGTGTGTGTGTGTGTGTGTATGAGTGTGTCTTGCCTTCAACTGTGGTCCCGGGATAGAAGTGTTTCAGGTTGGGGGAGAAAGTGAATGATCAAGACTCTCCCCAAGTTAGTTTGTCTCCTCTCCTGTCACCCTGAGAGCCACCGAGCTCTATAGGGATGAAGACCATTGAAGGCTCCGTCGCCAAACCTATGGCCTTTCCTCAGCATTGTAAGGCTTATGCCACGGAGAAAGGTAGGGTCAGAGGCTGCCTTCGGGTGCCCCAGGCACACATCTTCCTGAAGCCTTTCTCTCGCCAAATGCTGCAGACAGAAAGACGACACTTCTGGGGAGATGAAAGCTTGTATCCAGAACTGGTAGCCCCAGTGGCCATCAGGTCCTGTGGCCCAAGGGCTGCACTAGCCTCTGGCCGAGTGCCTGGCTCGGGCTCTTTCTGTGTCTCCCCAAGGCTTGGGTGCCAGGCCTGCCTTCCTCACCACCTAGCCATAGTCTTGAACCTGTGGGGAAGGAGGTCTTCTCCCTGCCCTGGAAGAGGACAGATAACTGATTTCCGTTCTTTTGACTCTGTTTTAAAATTCTCTTTCGAAATATGGAGTGTTGGGCTGTTTTGTTTCTGACAGAGCTACAGCCCTGGGCCTGAGGTGAACGTGGGAGGCCCTGGTGGTGCAGGGAAGAGGAGAATCCCAAGGGCATGAGTGTGTGTGTCCCCTTGGCTTGTAGGTCAGCTGGGCTCGGGATGTGTCCCGAAGTCTGCTCTTCAGGCATTCTGTGCTGGTGCTGCCACAGGGACTTTGTCCCCAAGCCTGGGAAGGGCGCTCTGGGTCCCACCCACCTGTTTCTTGGGCAGGGCTCTTTTCTCTCGTGTCTTCCCCCAGGGCCAGGTGTCTTCGTCCTTCCTGGCTGTTGCTTTTTCTCTCCAGGGTCTCAGGCACTCCTGCGTTTCCTGGGCTGAGGGGCTGGGTGTTCTCACCGTTTAGTTTGCCAACGTAACGCACGTGCCTCCTGCCAATGGTAACAGGTGTGAGTGAGCTCTTCACACACCTGCGCTTTGCGTGTCTCTTTGCTTTCAAAGTTTCTTAATAGTGAATGCTTTAAAAAATAAGTCACACAAAGGAAGTTTCCCCAGGATGGAAAACAAAAGGGGAAGTGCTGCTGTAATTGGGAGCACAAGGGATCCCCTAGAGGGAGCCCCACTTCAGCATCACTGCCTTAGCCATGGCCTCCCCTCCCTCCGTCGGGCGGGAGGGGGTTCCTATCCCCCTCTCTGTTTTCCCTGGAGGCAGATGTCACAAAGCATTTGTAAGTTGCTTCAGGTGCAAGAACACTGCCCACTCAGGACTTATCCCCATTATCCTTTTCAGACTGGCCACACACTAGGGCAGTGTGAGGAGCTAGCCGGGACCAGGTGGTGGAGCAGCAGCGTGGCGTTCTGAGCGCCTAGCATCCTTCTCTAGCATTGTGATGCCACCTCCCCTCCTTGTCCCAAGGTTGTGAGGCTTTGTCTTTCCCTTTGGTGTCACATGAGTAGAACAGGGTCCCCAAAGCCCATGTGATCATTTCCCAGGCATCATTCCCTGGTGCCTGTGGGATCCTGCTTCATGCAGGTAGGGGAAGAGGGCTCCAGGGCTGGCCGGGAGCGACACCTCCTGAAGGAAAGTGGGAGCTTCTGATTCTAAGGCCCTGGCCTAGGCCTCTATCCTAATATTGCAGGAGGGGCCTCTCTCCCAAGCCCCATCCTAAGGATTAGCCCTTGGGCCAAGTCTGCCATGGGGTCCAGCTATGCTTTTCTGACTAAATAAGCAATAAGAGGCTCTAAGCTGATCCAGTTCCGAGGCCCCTTTCTGCCCTGCTTTGGGTCTCCTTGCCTCCAGGTGAAGGAAGAGCTGGTGCCACCCGCTTTCCTATCAGACTTGTCCAGGTGTTCCAAGGGACTCATGACCAGAGCCCAGGATGGCTTGGTGGGAGTGTCCCCACTGCTTCTGCATGAAGCCTGGCTCCATAGGCCTCGTTCTCGCCAGAACCCTGCCCTGCCCCCATGCAGTTCCTCACCGGAAATGCCACACCCCCACTCACCCTCTCCTCCCTTCCCTGGAGAGGCAGCTCAGCCAAATAGGTCTAGGCAGGGTCCATCGGTGTGGACCAGAGCCAGCCTGAAGTCATTATGCACCTTCTGGTCTCCAGTTTCACAGTGTGTTAGGGGCAAGAGATGACTGCAAGACGTGCTCCTTAGAGGAATCAGGCCAGACTCAGTTTTGGAGGAAGGCAAGATTGAGAGGGAGCCAGTTCACCCCAGGATCTCTTCCGGGGTTTCCTACCAGCCCTTCCTGTTTGAGGCTGGTCTTCGGGAAGCAATAGGCCACCAGGCCTGGTCGACCCCAGTTCACGCCGTGCCAGGAATCTGCCCACCTGCCAGGTTCAGTTCTTTAAGGTGCCTCTTCAGGGACACAGTGTGTCTCTCTGATTGGGCTTCTAAATCAAAAGCCTGATGTTCGTGTCCCTCTCATAGGGGGAGCTTTGGACACAGGACCGGTTTGGAAAGGGTCAGGTAAGAGTTTCCACTCTGCACATTGTAGAGGGGACACTCTGTAGGTCCATGGGTCCCTTACTATAGCGAGGTTGAGTAAATTTGCCTTCAGTTAACCTGGGACCTTCTGTTTAATTCCCTCCTGCCTCCCAAAGATTTTGACCATTTTACAAATTCACCTCTGTTAACAGTGGCCCAGAAACTTCTCTGTGCTAAAAGCATGGGAAGTCTAAAGGCAGTCATTCCCTGGGAAATGGATCCCGTCCTGTTTTGCTACCCCTACCCTGTTCATGAGGCCTCATTCAATAAGGCAACCCCCCCGTAAGGCTGTCCTGTATCCCATGTCCCAGAAAGGTCAAGTGTCTGTGGAAAGTAAGCCTGTTTTCCCCTTCAGGTTTTCAGTCGGTTACTTGCCACTACTGTCCCTCAGTCGCCTTTTTTGTAAAATGGGGTTTTAGTTTTGTCCTTTTATTTTAATACTGGTAAATACTTGCATTCAAGCAGGGGAGGGAAGGCAGGGGTCTGGCCCCCTGCACCATTCCTTTACTGCTGTGGGGTTTGCCCCTGGAGCAGACCCTCCTCTTTGCGCCCCGTGAGCTTCTTTGCTTGTAGTATCTCAGATTTTACATGTTCCACGTCGTGCCACGTAACCCCCTTCAAGATACCGTTTGGAGGGTGGGGGAGATCTGCTTCCCAATGTGACTGGGCTGTGGGGTTCTGACTACCTTGCTCACAGGTTCATGGTTTGATAAACTTGTATTCAAAAACTTGAAATGTAGG